ACCTGCCTTCATATATCCATGTTGTCTGCCTTCGTATATCCATAGTATCTGCCTCAATATATCCATGTTGTCTGCCTTCATATATCCATGTTGTCTGCCTTCGTATATCCATAGTATCTGCCTCAATATATCAATGTTACCTGCCTCAATATATCCATGTTATCTGCCTTCATATATCCATGTTACCTGCCTCCATATATCCATGTTATCTGCCTTCATATATCCATGTTATCTGCCTTCATATATCCATGTTATCTGTCTTCATATATCCATGTTATCTGCCTTCGTATATCCATGTTATCTGCCTTCATATATCCATGTTATCTGCCTCCATATATCCATAGTATCTGCCTTCATATATCCATGTTACCTGCCTCCATATATCCATGTTATCTGCCTTCATATATCCATGTTACCTGCCTTCATATATCCATGTTATCTGCCTTCATATATCCATGTTATCTGCCTTCATATATCCATGTTATCTGCCTTCATATATCCATGTTATCTGCCTTCGTATATCCATGTTATCTGCCTTCATATATCCATGTTATCTGCCTCCATATTTCCATGTTACCTGCCTCCATATATCCATGTTATCTGCCTTCATATATCCATGTTATCTGCCTCAATATATCCATGTTATCTGCCTTCATATATCCATGTTATCTGCCTTCGTACATCCATGTTACCTGTTTTCATATTACCACATTACCTGCTTTCATATATATATACCTAATCTGATAAACTATAAACAAACATATCCGGAAAAACCTGCATTCTTATCTCCGTATCACCTGTTTTCATATTACTATATCAATATTTGTTTTACCATATAAGCCATGTTCATATCACAATACCTATGTTGATATAAACATCCATATTACCTGCATTCAATTAACCATGTGATATGTGTTCATATCCCCTGTGCAAGGATTAACATCACAAAGTTTCAAATGTATGATTCAGAAGAATCCAATAAATGATGACATACAATGCAAAACACAGTTTCTTTGCCTCTATTCTTCCATGACAAAACATATTGCTAAACTGTAGTGGTGCTTACAGCTCCTTGAAGTGTTGAATTATTAACTCATCTGGTTTCTCTGAAATGTATACTACTAAAATAAAAGAAAGAACACTCAATTCTTTCATATGACTTAAGTTTATCTGTCAACAGATTAATTATAGTGATATGAAACATGGGTGTTCTTTAAGAGATTAACCATAGTCATAGATAAGATAAGATAATATTTATTCCAGAAACGTTCCATTAAGGGACAGATGCAATCTTAAAAGACAAAACATTAAGATACACAATGCCATTTAGAAAGTGGTCAAATGTAACAAATGCTATATTTGGGATAACACTTTCTTAGTAAAGTACAGATTCTCGTACTTTTTAGGTTGAGTCCCGTCCGGGATTCGAACCCACACTTGCCAGAGTGAGGCACCTAATCACCAGCACACAAAGTCAACGATCTAACCCACTCAGGAAGCCTCACTCTGGCAAGTGTGGGTTCGAATCCCGGACGGGACTCAACCTAAAAAGTACGAGAATCTGTACTTTACTAAGAAAGTGTTATCCCAAATATAGCATTTGTTACATAAAACATTAAGAATTATATATACATATATACTGACATACATAATTTACATTCCTGTAGACACAAAAATAAATAAATAAATAAATAAATAAATAAATAAAAAAATAAAAAAATGTGTGCCCCCAAAATGTGTAACTTCTTTTGAGTAGTATATAATGTACTTTCTTTGAGGTGTTTCATTGGATTTTCTGTCTAACATGCAACCAAATTTTAGGAACTATGCACACATGTCCGACATCTTCCCAGAGACATTCTCATATCACCATTATGACCACCAGTTCAAGTCATCCTTAAAGGAGCACTAGGCACAGGGATTTAGGCAGCCCCAGCCAATTTGATTATCAAGAAAAAATCTTGGTCATCTGCTAACTCAAGTTTCTGTTGATCAATGTCAGCCAATGGTTACCATAGTAACATACAAACAATGTTGCAATTTCCCAAATGACACATCCACATATACTGGAAATGAGCATGGGGGCCTAAAGCTAGGTCTCCCTTAAAATAGACAGCAAACAACTTCAGTATCTCCATCGATATTATCTCCTTTGAAGATTTTGAAGCAGTAAATATTAATAACCAAATGTACATTAACTTCCATGACCATCTGTTAAGGCCACACTAAGATAAACAATTTAATATCATATTTGGCAACATTTAGCCAATAATCCTTGTTGATACAGGTGAGAATTAGAAATATAAGAGAGAATGGTATGTCAACAGATGCAGGGCCCCTGCCCCCACCAATCTCTTCCTGGGATTCCCCCCGAGATGTCAACTATGCACATATAGATGGAGTATACAGGCTACACACACTTATCCCTCAGTCAATATGTATGAAGTATATCTCAAACATTCCCTGTTAGCCTCTGAGACACACCAGTATGTTGACAATATGGACTAATAAACCAGCCGCATTCATTGGCCCTGAGAAGCAGGACAGGGTTTTCAAATTATGAATGCGGTGAAAAGTGTCCAATATTACAGCCATACGATTTAAAAAAGTTGAGGATCACCCAGTTCTTTTCTATTACAATAGTTAATCTGTCATGTTATGATTAACTATATAAATACATAAAAATCGGAACCGACCTCAGTCACATAGGACCCATCTGATAAAGCAAACTTCGGTCTTCGGCAAAGCAGCCACTAGGTTTCACTGCCACCCCTATAAATATTTTTGGTATTTCTGGGATCGTCATCCTGCTGATAAACTTCTGATTGAAGGCGATAATTATTTTTAAAAATTTGGGAGAGAGAAATAATGTACATTCTTGCAGGGACAGCTTGTTACAGTGGGTGAGTGAGTAAGTTGGGTTTAACGCCGCTTTTAACAGTATTCCAGTTATATCACAGCGTATCAGCTTAATGTGGGAGGAAAGCCCAAAGTGATGCAGGTCTCAGACATTTACCACTTCGGTGAAACCCACGAGCACGGGTACGGTGCTGACAAACCTAGAAACATAACTGGGGCGAACTGGGATTCGAACCCACAACCATAGGTTTCTGGCGTGCCCAAGGGACGCAACTCTGCACAGCGAATCGCGGCGCCTTAGACGACTGGACCACCCATGCCCCCGCTTGTTACAAAGGACACTCATGTATGACATATCTCCAGCCAACTCTTCCCCTTGGATAAATGACCAGTGTTACAAGTAACCTATTATGAGTGAGTGAGTGAGTATCGTCACTATAATCACACCCTTTCACATTAATGTGGTAGGAATGTGATGCACATCTTGGCAAATGTTTATCACTTTGGTGAAACCCTAAAGCATGGGAATCGGGCAGAGAAATCATGAATCATAAGGACAAATCTGGGTCGATAATTGGATTCTCACACACCAAAGGGAGACAACTTATACCTCAGACAACTGAAACACCAATGCCCTTACTACCCTATCATCATCCAGTGGCGTGATCATGTCATATTCTGTGGATGCATTTTATATGTAATTACAGTGACAATCTCATCAGCAGTATTCATTTCTTTGTACACTTACTAAACACGGCATATTTGGCTTTTATTGTCAAATAACATGCTTACCTCATCAAGTGACCTGACAACATAATATTTCCATGAGAAGTCAGGAATGAAAATATCGACTTTGCAGGTCAAGAGATAAACGGATTTGACAAGAAAAGCCATTATCATCTACGTAAGTGTACAAAGAAATTAATACTGTTAATGTGATTGAATTGTCTCTGTTCAATATTAATATGTCATGCGTCAACACTATATGATCTGACCAAACAGCCAAACATCCTGTATTAAGTATATTCTGACTGATTTGTCTGAAAGCTAAACATCAATGAGGCAGACTAAGTGTTATATCACTTTCTGTGAAATATTTAGATAGATAAATTGAATTTTAGCACTAAATAGATAATATCATATTTTATGAGCAGATTATTCATTCATGTCTTTCCAATCATAACTTGAAATGATGCCTGAACGGAAATGAATGAATGTATTAAACAGAGAAGTGTAGAGAAGGTTTTATATTCATTCAAATCACTAAAACTGTTTGTGGAGTGCCAGAGAATGCAAGCTCAGACTTCGACACAGTGGAGTCACCATGACAAGGGAGGTAACTCCTCAATACCCTTGTGACAAATGTCACACAAGTAAAATCCTTGCTGACAGTGAAGTGACTGAAGTGTTGATTATTTTCAACAGTCCTGCATTGAGGGGACAACTGTGCAATGAGAAAACTTCTTCCACATATATCACATGTACCCAAGATACCTCCATGAGATAAAGAAGACTTATACCAGTTATATCACATGTATCCAAGATACCCCCATGAGATAATGAGAACTTATACCAGTTATATCTAATGTACTCACGATACCTCCATGAGATAAAGAAGACTTGTTCCAGTTATATCTAATGTACTCACGATACCCCCATGAGATAAAGAAGACTTGTTCCAGTTATATCACATGTGCCCAAGATACCTCCATGAGAAAAAAGAATTATACCAGTTATATCTAATGTACTCACGATACCTCCATGAGATAAAGAAGACTTGTTCCGGTTATATCTAATGTATCCAAGATACCCCCATGAGATAAAGAAAACTTATTCTAGTTATTTCACATGTACCCAAAATACCTCCATGAGATAAAGAAGACTTGCTCCAGTTATATCTAATGTACCCAAGATCCCCCATGAGATAATGAATACTTATTCCAGTTATTTCACATGTACCCAAAATACCTCCATGAGATAATGTACTAAATATACCGCCATGAGATAATGTACCCAATATACCTCCATGAGATAAAGCAAACTTATTCCAGTTATATCACATGTAATCAAAATGCCCCTCAGATCACATATCAAATAAACCGAAGATACTTGGCCTATACTCAGATCCATATATCACTTACCAACAAGGGGACTGCCTCGTACAGGGACGGGACTGCTGCTGGCAGAGGAATGGGGGCTGCCATATTTCCTGTTGTCTGCTGGGTCTGTTATGCCATCATTGCCGTACTGGAGGAAGATCTTCACCTCCTCTTCCTCCGTGCCATGAGCCTCCAGCAAGATGGAGATGTTCTCCTCTGGGTTGATCTCCCGCTCTGTGAAACACACGCACAAGTTATAGTCTTCCCTTCAGTTCTGTCACAACTGTAGAGCTTGAAAGGGCAGGGTGGGGTTTACAGATTATTGCACTAAATTGTGATATATATATATTACCAACCAGTCCTTGCTTTATCCCCTAATGCTGAGTGCCAGGCAGGGTAACACCAAGGACAACCTTTGTAACGTCTCTTGGTATGGAGTGAGTGAGTGAGTGAGTGAGTGAGTGAGTGAGTGGGGAGTGAGTGAGTGATATGTCAGCAATGTTTCAGCCTTAGTCAGCAATGTTTCAGCCTTAGTCAGCAATGTTTCAGCCTTAGTCAGCAATGTTTCAGTCTTAGTCAGCAATGTTTCAGCTGTTGCCTGTAAATAATGACAGATTAATAACGATTAACTACAGTAACATGAACAAATGGAGTGGTCCCTTACTTTTAATGAGTAGTATATATAATTAATCATTGAAGCATCTTTTTCTGTCAGTCTGCTGAACTCACCATAGTTCTTCCATCTCTCCACTAGGTGGCAGTCTTGCACACTTGGGTCCCGGACGCAGTCGATGACATCTTGACCAGTAGAATCAGGGGTGACAGGAACCTCGACACTCGCCTCAGCATCACCCAGGTGAACTCGGAGAATAATCTGTGAAGAAAACATCCACATGCATTTTGTTGCCCTTACTCAAAGTAAGTAGATCTTTTTAGCAAGGATGTAGAAGGTAAACACAGCTAAAACTGCTAAAACAGTAGATTCAAACTTGGTGGCTGTGAAAGGGAGATAACTTCATTCAGACTATTCTCCCACTTTAACTCTTGTCAAGTTTTCTTCCTCAGCTTTGCACAGATAAAACAAGACAAAGTAAATAACAAACTGTCATGAGAGAAACATAACAACATAATAAACTATCTAATAATTATGTTTAGAAAAATAACACTGAAAAAACCTTTTACTTACACCTTAACTAGCGTGAGTCTATTTGACTACTGGAGGGCAAAATCTTGAAAACTTTGTTTCACATGATTCTATATGTGACATCTTGTTTTCATCTACCATCTCAGTAAAACTAGAAAAAATCTTTAGTTCATAAAAAGGTTCACACAGAATAAGATTAATCCAAACGCTATGTGTCCATATTTTCCTTGTCAGGATGCTTCAAGTATCTCTGTTCCTACCGGTCTCTCAAAGACTGTTTGTGTGGTAACAGTGTTGATGTTTTCGGGACTTTTCTAATAAATCGGCTCATTATGAAGACAACACACTCTGTATTCGCCCAGCACATAATCAATGAGTTTGATGTATGCCATTTTCAGCAATATTCCTACAATATCATGCAGGGGGACACCATGGGCTTCATACAATTTACTAATGTGGGGAATCAAACCCAGGGTTTCCGACCGACAAGCCAGCACTCTAACCACAAGGCCACCCCACTGACACCTTAGCAGTCAAGTCTCATGTGGAGTTAAACTACCACCCCTCATTCTATCGACTTCCATGCAGGATTAAAGTGTTTGTTGTACTGATATCATCCTCAAGTAGGAACTATTAATCTGGATTAAAATCCAGTTGCTTGAGGCGAGGTGAAATTGGGTTTAACGTTGCGTCCATGATTATTGCACTTATATAGCGACGTGCAGGCACGTGTGTGTGTGTGTGTGGCTGCTTGTACTAGCCCGGACTGATGCCGATTTATAGTGCTAGGTCACTGAGATACCATGCCGCAGTTTAACATGAATACCCCACTCAGACACAGTATACTGACTCCGAGCTGACCAGTCCTTGTTTTAGCCTCTTAATGCCAAGCGCCAGACAGGGTAACAACAATTAACATCTTTTAACGTCTTTTGGTATGACGCGTCCGGGGATCGAACCCTGGACCTTCCGCTCTCTGGGCAGATGCTCTACCACTGGACCACAGAGGCGGTCCCCATTTGCTTGAAGCCAAGGACATTGTACTTTAGTTTCAGTTGGTATTATGCAAAATCCTACACAGAAAATGTAACCACTTGAATGAGACAAATATAAGATCACGTTTCCCTTCACGATATGTTTTCAAATGATGTGACCAGGTTTAAGACTGTGACCAGTCTTTACAATGAGACTTTTGTTCCCAACAAAAACTGAACGGACCATATAGTTAATAAAACGTTCAGCCATTCCATTCTCATCCCCTTCTCAGTAGTCCTGTGCCACGACTGTGGAATATATTTTACTAAAAGCCAAGTCAAGTCTCGATCAAACTAAACCAAGTCTAGTTTCCTTGATTATGAAACAGAAGAGGAAAGGTTCTTTTGAACAAAAAAAATTACAATTATTTTAAAGAAATGTTTTCATGGACTACGTGTTAGTCTACCATCTCAGCTGTAGCAGCCTATACCCATCCCATTTTCAGCTCTTGGCTGACATTCAGAGCTTTGAGGGTTCCTTAATATGCCTTTATAAAAGTACTTTTATTTCACCTATTACATAACTGTATTTCAGGGACTCCATGTTATGTTGGTCCTTGACGTGACTGTTGACATCCTATTTCAAACCCTCACATCTTGCACCAGATTATCTGCAGCCTCATCAACAACTGATGCCCCTTGGGTCAGTTCACAAATTCTTTCCAAAATATGAATTTTTTCACACATGACAAGACAAGAATGTTCAATAACTCACTGATGAGCAACCAGATTACAGGAACAGCGCTCATTTTCACAGTCATGTGGACCCAGCAAGTCTTGAATGAAGACAAGCTATCGTGGCTGAAAGCCAACAATTACAATCTTAACTTCCAATCACAAAAAGAGCTGCGGTACTTGAAAAGAACATCAGAATAACATGAGGGCCTCTCAAAATGAGTGGCTGAGTGAGTGGCTGAGTGAGTGAGTGAGTGAGTGAGTGAGTGAGTGGTTTAACACCGCTTTGAACACTATTCCAATTATATCACGGTGCAAATCCAAGTGATGCAGGCCACAAACATAAAACCTGAATTGGGGGCAAACCATGATTCAAAACCACAATTCAAATCCACCAACAGGGTCCCCTGTGTCCCCCAAACATCAAATCTTAGTCATGAGTACCAGTGAATGTTTTAGGTTGTGGATGACTCCCAGCTCTACAGTGAGTGTCCCTCACTCCACATCACTCACAGTCTGTCAAGTGTTTTTGTAATATTTTTGTACAATCTGACCCAGTTACTATTTTTGTGAAGACATCCCCATTGCATTCATCCCAACCACAGTGAGGGTGTAGACAGTCACAGCTTCAATTCACTGTATCCCCTCTACTAGCCTTGCTAGTCTGTACTCAACGATAAGTCCATTGACGTATAGTAATTCTATCTTTACAATAGGCAAGTCTAGATAAGCCAACAGTAAGGACGCCAGACTTTTTAATAGTTCTTACTATTTACACAGGATTTATGATATGAACTAACAGTCATTTCCTCAGAGACTTAAGCCTGCAAGTCTACCTATGAGTGAAATAAGATAATACTTATTTCAAAAACATTCCATTATGGGACAGGCGCAATTTTTTAAAATGACCAAACATTATGATTCATATATACATATATACAGACATACATAATTTACATTCCTGTCAACACAAAACCCCATCAATATTACACATTTGATTATATTATACATAAAATGTCATCGGTTGAATAAAATGAAGGGATATTGATTGCTTGAAATGATAGACATGGAAGCAAATGCAATTGATAGCTTCAATTGGTGGCTTCATTATTTGAGAGGATGTAGTGAAATTATTGGTTTTCATGACTGTGGACATTTACATTTTGTGTGGATAATTTCCCAAAGAGTATATTTTTTTCTTGAGTGTTTGGTACAGTGAAGTATGTAGTGTTTTTCATCACCAATGGTTGAACATGTAGAGCATAGCCTCTGATGTAGTGGGGTTGGTGGCTTTGTATGTCTTCCAAGTTCAATATTTAATTTATGGTTACTTCATCTTAGTTTAGAAAAGTGGACTCGAAATTTTCTTATTTTACAGTGACTGAGATAGGGTTCTAATTTTGTTTAATTATTAACTATCCTGTATGTCCTAAGTTTGTTTCCTGTGCCTCTTGTTGTATTTACATCTTGAAGAGATTCCTTGAAGAGGGAGTTGAATTTAGATTTTATTGTCTCTTTGAATATTGGTGATAGGAAATCTGAAGTACTCAAATTGTGTTTTCCTAAGAATAGATTGAGCAGGTAAACCCCATTCTTATCATTTATTCACCAAATATGTACTTTCAGCAAAAGCGTTCTGAAGTATTGTGTTAATGGAAGAACCAACATGGTGTTAGGAATTTGCTATTTGTATTAGTACAGTGTAGATAAGAGGGTAGAGTCCTAGTTCAGCTCGGCTTGCCCAGTTGTGTGTTGTTTTGCTGACACCGAACATGGATTTACAAAATCTGACGAGCTGCGTATCACAGCACTGTTGGAGCACCTCGCATGCTGAGATTATCAGCATTCTTGGCTCAGTATCAGAATATAAGTGATCAAAATAACCACGTTTCTACACACCGGCTTCGAGACCTGGGGTGATATGATCCATATTAAATAATACACTTAAAATAAATCAACCACTCAACATTTACAATGCATTAAGAAAGTTCTGATAACTCAATTGATTCAAGTTAACAGCTTTATGACATGATTTTAATTTCAAGTCTTCTCTGTACTTCAGTTGTTTCCTTGTCTCATACTAAATGTATATATACGTATATAATACAAAATTTCAAACCAATACAAGCACATGGCAAGCAGATAGGGCTGCACTGTCTGTGGTTCAACTAGTCTGACATGGGACATGAAGTGACTTCTCTTTTTAACTGGATTACACATTATTCATTAATAAGGTATTTATGCTTGAAAAATGCTCAAGAGAAAATGTCAATGATATCCTGAGTTCAGTTATCATGGAAACTGCATTGGAATTTGAATACAAATTATATGTTAAAATATTAAAAGACATTCAGGCACTCATAATGCATTAACAAAACATAAAGCAAAGAAAGGGATTCAGTGATAATGGTTAATCGATATATACTACTCAAAAGAAGTTAAAGAACACACGATGTATTCATGTGACTGTAGTTAATGTGTCATGGCTGGTAGGTATTGCAACATACAGCCTACCAGTTGTGGGTGTTCTTTAACTTGTTTTGAGTAGTATATGATAATCTTACGAAAATGACAGATTGTACAGACTTAGCTGAAGCTTGGACTTTAAACCTGAACAGGAGACAATCTGCAGTACTTATAAAGTTTTCTGTTGCTGAAACAAATTTTAGATGACTCAATGGGCACCATTGTGATATGATTATTACCTTTGTATTGGTGAGGTGAGGTGGCACAGTAGTTAAGTGTTTGTTCAACATGCAGAAAGTCTAAGTTTGATTCTCTCATTACAGTTTAAGAAACCCATTGTGGAACACCACTGAACAAGATTCGAATTAGGTCCTCTAAACAGGAAGAACAAGTGGACTAACACTTTTACCATCAGGACTATTTTTAATGGACTTTATTTTCTAACACAAGCATTGTTAGAAAAAGCTGAAGTGTTGCTCTACATTCACATAAACCAAACCACATCATATTTTATGAATTTCAAATCTAAGAGTTTACAATGGCAACAAGAATCTT